TAACGAGGTAAATTCAACATCAAAAAGGAGTATTAATAGCAAAAACGACTAAATTGAGGTCTATAACAACGATAGCACAAACCTACAAATGGCTTACTGAATGTGAAGCCATCAGAGCAAATGAAGACTGCATTCGGTCGCGTTCGTTGTCCTGATCAGAGCACGTCAGAGAAGTGACATTCTTCGGTACATTCCTTGTCACAGTTAATTCTGTTAACAGGCAATCTGCCTATAGCTTTTAGTGTACATAAGAAATTTTCATTAAAACGCTAGCGGAAAATTTCTATCTCTGACACATCGGCCTATTACCTCTAACGTGTAACCTCATGCTTGTTTAACACAAATATAAACTGTCGCTTTCTACTCTTGGCCCATACTTTGAACTGTATGGGTTCTGTTAATTCATAGCTGAGAGTATCAAAGAGTCGACAGTAAAAATGAAAAATTTGATTGCCAAAGGCATATTTGCAGTGATCGAATCAAACTGCATGTAAAGTAAGGTGACAGACTCATCAAATAATAATCTCTATCGACCTATAACTGGCAGACCTTCAACCATGAGCAAAGTGCAGTTGAGTTTCTCTCCTATTCAAACAACGAACATGTGCTGCGGTGAAAAGACTCCTATAAAACCAACTCCTACTTAACCTTAAAGAAGATTATTCATCTACGCTATATTTAATAAATTGCAGTTATTCTGATTCATGGCTGAAACCGTCAAATAGAATCGATGGAAACAAATCCACTGCCAACGCGTTTAACTACCACGCTTGCAACGTCATCACAGCACAGCTGTTACAAACTTTCTCTATCAGGTTTGTTTGGTGCCCTAAAAGATAAATCAGTAAAACTGTTACAGCTTATTCAGCACATCAAATTAGCTTAAATTAAAGGAGATGCAATTATGTTAAAACTCGACAAAAAGTACCAGACGATGTCTGACCGATCAAGTTCAGAGTTAAGTGTCAATTGATCTTCTTACTGTTTCAAATCAGTGCGCGTGTCTGTCGACCAAGAACTGGATCAACATCAAGTTTAGGCCTACTAAGGTCTGTAAGACATAAGACGATCAAGCACTAGCATTTTGAGAACCTGAGATTTACGTTAAACTTTATGTCGATCAAATGGAATGCGTCCTTAAGCATACTTTCACTTTACTGGTCCAACTGTGAGCACTAAAGATTGAATGAACTTGCTGTCTGAGGGCAGCCCCTATATATGCTTGAAGTATTATACATAAACATCTAGAAGCAGCAAAGGCGCAGTAAAATAATATCATATACACAATTTAAACGTTATTATGCCTATGACATAAAATTGTATTAAAAAAACATTGTTTATCATTTTTTCGAGGAGAAATCACCGGAGAAGAAGTGTATGTGCATAAGCTCACTGAGGAAAACTCCTAGCGGACCAAGCCCCACAGTGCCATCACCCGGAACCCAATTCGGCTGGAGTAAAGCGCAAACTGACGTTCTGTCCAACACGCCTGGCAAACGTGGACAGTGGCCAAAACAGTTTGCCACGAACAGAAGAAATGAAAAGCACATACAAAAATTGCCCTTTCCCCGTTGTGTACAACTCGAAGGTGGATTACACATCTCAGATTGTATACGGATGATAGTTGTATGTTGACTTCAGCAGTCGGGAATTGGTACCCCAGGGACTGGAAGGGTCCAGCTGAAAGATTTCGGCTCAGATGAGAAGAGGAGCAAAAACGGATATGGGAGACTATGGTGACAAATAGCCCAAGACAGACTAACGTGGATATCGAGACTAATGAACTGTGATTCAGGTTAATTACGAAAATGAATCAAGGAAATGCTAGTGCAGCTGTCGTCGTCGTTATATTTCAGCATGACTATTTTTAACATTCACGTGGTATAAGGAACTCCTTTCAGTCGTCTAATGAAACATGATCGTAATGAGCAATGAGTAAATGAGTCGGCGAATATGTGAAATGTATTTAGCAGCACAGGTGCTCGAATATCATTGGCCAGTGGCGTGCTTTAATGCTTCCTAACTACCTCTTCCCCAACCAAAGAGGTCATTAGGCACAAAGAATGGAGAAATACAACATGGAATGTGGTTTAGAAGAAGTTAATAATTAGAAAATTCAGACGTACTAACACTTTTGAAAAATTTTAGTCATTAGCATATCAAGAACATATTTACAAATCCATTTCTTCCTTCTCATCGTGTTAATGCCGTTCACTTATTGCCTTTGATGACTATATCCATGGTGTTACATCAGCGTCATTTACATCAGAGAAGCTACGTAGTGATAATCTACAGTCGCACCTTAGTGGCGTGATGGCAAAGTGCGAAGAATGTCAGCTTCAAAATCGAACTTCGGAGGCGCCAATTCGGAGACGCCGCGGAAGGCAGTTTTGAGTCTTGAATTTTCTTGAGTAAGGAATTTATCACTCGGTAGGCAGAGTTCCCGTCTCAGAAGCGAAAAGTCCCGGGTTCGACCCCGGTCAGGAGGGGGCGGTCACTCCCCTTTATTCCCTGAGAGGTTCATAAACGAGTGATATAGACAGGAGAAAAAAACCACGCTTGTCAAGGTTGTGCTGCTGTCGATTCTGTCTGTAAAATGTCACTGCCAACTGATGACATGGAAACGGAGATCAGAGCACCAACGATTAGATTCACGAAAATAAAGTGTTGAATATAAAGATCCACTGTGTAAGCGTAAGGAAGATCAACATTCCAACGGTAACAAATTTTTCATTTTCATTTTTTCATGCCTTATCACTGAACTTTTCAACCTTAAAGTATTTATTCGCGACATCAGTTCCTGCGGAGTAGACCAGAATTTATGTATCCTCTTTAAAATCGAGCTCACGGTACAGAAAATTTATTTAGTCTTGCAAAATAATAATCCAGCAAAAAACTGGAAACTGCGTAAAAAAGACCATCTCCAAAACCTGCAACTGCCGACAGAAACAACACTGGTCAAAGAATCGTAACGCTGACCACCCCTGAACAGTGCAAGTGATACCTCAGATGTGTACAGCCTCCATGATGCATCTGTACGTAGTGCAATTATCGTTTAAAAGTAAAAATATCAGAAGAAAAACATGAAGCAAATCGAAAATCATTTAATCAGCAAACGCATGGTAACAAATGAACAAAAAGTTTGCTACCTTTGCTCCATTTCATGACTGCTTCATTCCAGACTTTGGATCCGAGCTCTAGCTGCATGTCAGTAACGACTGGACCGGGATTGAAATTCAGCACGCGAATTTCCGGCTCCTCATCCGACAGAACGCGGAAGAAGCTGTCTCTTGCTGCTTTACCTATGAATGAATGAATAAATGGAATTATCAATGAGTCCCATTCATACAACATACACAAAGTGTTTAATTAAAGCAAAGAATATGAATGGCACGAAAGCCCTCGCGAGAGAAATAAGTTCAAAAAAGCGAGCAGTGAAGAAAAATATTACAGTGAAGCATTTTATTAAGATAGAGAATAAACCACTCAAGAACACTCGTAACCTCATTCTGCGTGCCACTGGCAACTCAGCAAACTTATAAAGTAAATTCATAAAGTTTGAGGCGCATAATTCTTAAGACCGTTTTCAACGACCGGCGAATTAGCTTACAGTTATACGAAACAAACGACGACTTGAAATCATTTGGAACTTTGGCATTTTACATGTCGAATGTGCGAGTTTGCATAAGCATGATATTAAAAATGCCAAAATTTACACTGGTTTAGTGGCAAAGAATTGTCAGAAAACAATTTCTATCAGCATGTCTTCTAACTTACAAGGACAAATAGACTGAAAGTGAAATGAATCTATTTATAAACGTTACAGACAACGACCATATGTCATCCATCAGACGACATTCACAACGCATTTCAATGAGCGCTCTGAAAGCCGGCCTGGTGTGTTCGAGATGAGTGAGAGATGACCTCCTTCAGCTTTCCAACGACTATCCGTACAATCACGACGAGTAATCAAAAAAATTTTGCGTTTAAAGAAGACATGCTCCTTCGCATACATGTTGCATTGAATATTATCTGCTCATAGTAGAGGTTAGTTCAGATCCACCCACAGAATAAGTAATTCATAAAACCCTGCTACACGTCGTAGTGCTCTACATCTGCCGGGCGGATTGATCTCCAGCGCAGTGGGAATTCCATGCATATTGAATTAATTTCGTTGAGTAAATTAAGTACAGAGGAACGAAAATTACAAAAATGCTACATATATAATTTCATAAATTGTTAACCTATAAATGTTTCCTTGGGTAATGAAAATTTGGAGTAACTGTCCCTATATTTAAAGGGAGTCAATCGACCGAGTGTTCCAATTATCGTGATATCACACTACTATCAACTCACGAGAAACTTTTCTTCTGAATTACCCTGGAAAGGCTCAGGTAGGCAACTGACAGGAGAGTTCGCCCAGATCAACCATGCCACGGATGGATTCCACTCATCCCCTGGATAAAATTTTCACTTGTAGCATCAATGAACAATGCCTCCGATTTCAATTGCTACGGTATGTCAGTTTACACGACATTAAGGCTGAATGTGATTCGCTGCAGCGTCCGTCGATGTAGAAAATCTTGAAATGCTATGCGATACATCAGCGAAGCATTTCCAGTTTGGAAGGATCTATTGCGCGCAGTCAGAGTCGAATGAGAACCATTTCATTGGCACTGATAATAACCGGGAAGTTCTCGAGGGAACTGTGCTTCCATGCTGTCAATGTTGTCACAACCTACCTTCTTCTCCGAGACAGTGCTGGCCTTACCAAAAACGAAGGTCTCATTCTTGCGGGGAGAGGCAGTTCAAAATATCCTGCTAGATATTATGCTGACGTAATTTGCTTCGACAGAAGTGTCGAGGTAAAGTTATATGTCGCCTAACGCGTCCACAGGTGTATAGTGGAACAACTCTCAAATATGGGTGTCAGCTGAGAAATAAGCAGAGAACCCGATGAATAAGCAGTCGCGGACTGCGACGAGCCAACGTTTTGGAAAGTTAGCTCTAGAAAATACTGTAAGGCCCGAGACAGCGCAGTGACATGGCAAGTACATTCCGCTATCAAATAAGCATGCTGCTAATCCTAACGAGCCGTAGTTGGTTCCCAGCCCGGTTTACAAAGACAGGTTGGCATCAGGCAGGTAGCTGGCCTTAAAATCCAATGCCAAAGTGAAATATGATGAGTCAATTTACCTATAGAAAAAATCTGAGGGCGTTTCCCACAGGCGACTCGCGGCAGCAAATCTCGGGGGCTGTGAGAAAAGAGCAAGGGTACCAGTTCCTAAGACGAAGGAAACCGCAGAGGGAGAGATTTACATGCCAAAAACGAAGCGAGAAATTCCGAATATTTACTTGGATAATTGGAAGTTAAGAAAGACGGGAAAGGGATTGGAGCTAACGGAGGCTCTTTAGAGAAGAAAAGTTCAGATCGCTTGTATTAAGGAGATGAAATGGAAAGGTGAAAGTCGAAAGAGATTTGACTAGGCTATAAACCTATTTGCTGTGAAATATCAAACAGAAGAAATGGAGTTGGAATGGTATTGAATGAAGCCCCAAAAATAGGGTATTCGAAGTTAGCCGAATTAACGACAGAATCATGGGCGTTAAACTCAAGCTGAACTTGGAAAGTTGTCTCTTAAATTTAATAAGCACCTAGAGCCTTCAGGCTGGTCAGAATGAAGCTGAAGAAGTGATATTCAGGGAGCGCCTAGACACTACACTGTAAAACCTACCGCAAAATGAAAAAATGGAAATCAGGGATGACCTTAACGGGCACGTCGGGAAACATCGAAGGGGTTACGAAGAAACCATAACGGACATG